GGCGGAGGCGGAGGCGGAGGTGGAGGCCGTGGTGGTGGTCGCGGGCCCCATGTTCAGCCCGGGCCATCGATGCCGGCTTCCTCGTCGTACCCCCAAGTTCAGCCTGCGCCATCGCGGCCGGCGGCGGCTGCTCCACAGGTTCGGCCTGCGTCATCGCTGTCCGGGTCGGCTTCCCCTTACGAGCCGACTCCGGCGTCGCCGACTGCCGGACTTAGCGCCGAGATGGCTCAGAAACTCACGGTTTCAGCGACTCCGACGCCCGTATCTTCAAAAGCCTTGAGGCCTCCAGCGAGGCCTGGCATCGGGAGGCTTGGAAAGAGCGTATTAGTGAAGGCGAATCACTTTCTGGTGTCTGTTGCAGATCGCGATCTAACCCATTACGATGTGAGTGCTGTTCAGGCCCTTTAACCCTTCCGTATGTTATTTGTTGTGGGGTGTTTTAGTATACGATCTTGCCCTCTGTTTTGGTGCATGAAACTGTTGGTGTCTTTACGCATCCAAGTATTTTGTAAAGGGTATTCACCTTCAACAGTGCAGGTGTTTCAGATGAATCCTTTTTGTGGGTTCTATCATCTAACTGGGCGTTCTTTATTATCCTTTTACCCTTTTTGTGGGTTCTATCATTTAACTGGGTGTTCTTTATTATCCTTTTACCTCCTCTGGTTACTCCTTTTCCCTTCATTTATTCCTGACATTTTCAGTTTTTCCTTTTGGCCTTCATTTCACTTCTTTTCATGTTATTATTATCTTTGTGTATTTTATTATGGGAAGGATGATAGATGTATGAAATACACATTTTGGTTGTCTCTTATTGATTTTTTGAACATTCATTTGTATTGAATTACCCTTAAGTCTTAACCATGATATTATTAAGATTATCTGCTAACACATGCCCTAATTGTAAGGGCTTGCTTTTGACGATTTTCATTATTTTTTCTTCTGTGTTCCACTTCGTGCGTGTATGTTAGTTTTGTAGATTTACTTTACCTTTTGGTATGCTTTAGTGTTTTATGTACTTTTCGTGCTGTCCTGTGCCCTCATATTCTGCTTGTAGATGTATTGCTTGGTGCTGTATTGTTCTTGCATTAGTTGGTCCAAGAAAACATTAAGTATTTTACCCACTGACTTTATGTAGTCCATCCTAGCACGTCAGCTAGGATTGTGTCTGTAAAATGATGTAAACAAGAGGTTCAATCATTAAATCGTGAAATCTTCTGAACTGCCTACTTATCCTTTATGTACTTACATTTGGGCATATTTATTTTATGAATTGTGACATCGTATTGTTCTACTTCAATAAGTTGGCCCTTCTGAAACTCTTAACTTAGGTGCCTGTAATGACTTATTTTATAAAATTTTGCTGTCTGAGGTATGCTTGCATTTGATGGCAACAGGTGTTAATGCAGTTCCATCTTTTAATTGCGTTGTTACTTGATGTACTGTTCTCGTGGATTGGAGACAGAACTTTTTTTGATGACATTTGCTCTCGACTTTCTTTTCTCAACGTTGAGACATTCCCTGTCATGTGTACATGCATTTTTGAGGATTAACTATATGACTATTGCTTCTTGTAGGTCTCTATATCTCCAGAAGTTTCCTCAAAACCAGTCTGCCGGAAGATTATGAATGAACTTGTTAATTCGTTCAAGTTGTCGCACTTGGGCAAGAAAACGCTAGCATATGACGGTAGAAAGAGCTGCTATGCGGCTGGAGAATTACCCTTTACTTCGAAGGATTTTATTGTCAAACTTGTGGATACTGATGGTGGATCTAGGTGGGGCATTGTTATAAGTGTGCTATAGAATATTTTTGATTGCTGCTGTGATGCTGTTTTTTGTGTTAGTTGTATATTGTTGCATGATCAGGTAATTTCTGTTTACTTGGGGTGGGTTTTCTGCTCTCTAGTTAGAAATAGAGAAATATGTTGGTTTTCTAGAAAAAAAAAAATTTGTTTCCCTTCTTTATGTTTGTCCGAGTGGTTTAGCTCTTTTAGTCTGTTCCAGCATGAGGCTTCTTGTCATGCTTCTTGTATGGGTGATGAATAATGGGTCATAAACAATAATGCAAAATGTTAATGTGCAACAAGAGTTAAATGTAAAAATTTATGTGCTCTAGCAGCTGATATGATAAAAAACTGACATGCTATTTTACTTTGCAGGAGGGAGCGCGAATTCAAAGTATCAATAAAATTTGCTTCAAAAGCTGACCTACATCATCTGCACCAATTTATTCAGGGTAGACAACTTGATGTGCCACAGGAAACTCTTCAGTTTCTTGATGTTGTTCTTAGGCAGAACCCCTCAAACAGGTGCATATATTTTTGTTTTTTTTATTTTTTTTCTGTTTGTTTCATAACTTATAAAAATGAGTGTTGCTTCCTTATCTAATTCTTCGTACTTCAGTTGTGAAGTTGTTGGAAGATCCTTCTTTTCTCGCAACCCGGAGGAACATGGGGAGCTAGGTAACGGTATCAATTACTGGAAAGGGTTCTACCAGAGTCTTCGTCCAACCCAAATGGGCCTTTCTTTGAATATTGGTATGCATTGTTTATATTTGGATTAATATGCCCTGCTTCGTGATAGGCTATGACTTTTTGTTTGGACTCCAATTCTGGTATTTTCTCTCTTATATTTATATTGACTAATTGTGTTTATTACTGTTTTTATAGCCATTTAGAGTCACATATACGGAAAAGCTCTTATTGAATATTAATATATATGTTGCAGATATGTCGGCACGTGCTTTTTATGAGAGCATTTTGGTTACTGAATTTGTCTGCAAGTACTTGAACAGAGATCTGACTAGGCCTCTTTCTGACCAAGATCGACTTAAGGTTTTTTTATTTCTTTGTGACTTGAGATTTTTCTAATTTCTTCACTTTTGTTGATTATCTCATTCTGATGTTAAGAACATATTTTATTGCTGTTACTGTTTGGTGTTTCCAAACATTTCACTTGTTAATATATGCATTGTTCTATCTGTTGTCATCCCCTCTATGGCTAAAAGAATGTCTTTGTTTTTTCAGGTTAAAAGGGCTCTCAAAGGTGTTAGGGTTGAAATGAACCATCAAGGGCATATCAAACGACATAAGATTTCTGGCTTGTCGACGGAACCAACTAGACAGCTGATGTAAGCTTATTTTGCTTTTGTTAAATGTTGTTCCAGTCAGCTTCTTGATCATGTAGCAACACAACTTCTGATGTAGTTTTATAGTTTTTTCTTAAATATGTATGGACTTTATACTTGGATTTGCTGGATAGTATCACTAAAGTTCTTCATATTAGGTTACCATTTTCATTGAGCTATTCCTTATTATTGGGTATATATGTTCTGTGTATTGTCTAGTCACTTGGACTGTTCTAGTTGTGTATCATCACATTTGCACATTACTATCTCGAGTTTTTCACGAGCCATCTTTTAGCAATCTTTTCCATCGGCTTCCAGATATTCTATCTCCTCTGTCTGCCTGATGTTAGTCAATATAGTCTATAGACTATTAATTGATTATTCTTGAAGATTGACGATCTGATTTACCTCACTCTTGAAAACAGGTTCCATCTGGAGGAGGCAGGCACCGATGTATCTGTTGCTGATTACTACCGTCAGAAGTATAATATTGTACTAAAATATCCCTTTTTACCGGCTCTTCAGTCCGGCACTGGCCAAAGGTCAATCTATTTGCCCATGGAGGTATCACGATAACCTAACACATTCTTTTGTTTTGTTCTCTGCCTTTGGTAGATTTTGTAGCTAAGTTAATGTTTTGCGTGCAGCTATGCAAAATTGTTGATGGTCAGAGGTATTCCAAAAAATTAAATGAGAGACAAGTTACAGCCTTACTCAGAGCCACCTGTCAACGACCAAATGAAAGGGAGAAAAGCATAAACAAAGTAAGTTTTAAATTGGTTATGAGTGTTACCTGCCTTTTGTATGACATCCGTACGTTTCTCATTTATTTTTAGATTTGGTGATTCCTTTGTCCTGCTGCTATTAATTTGCAATTTGATTTCGTAGGTGGTTGTTAGTGCAAACAATTACAATAGTCAAGATCTTGTTACAGAGTTTGGTATAAACGTTGATACTTCCTTCACAACCATTGAGGCACGCGTTTTGCCTCCTCCGATGGTATGATTCTCTGCCTTTTTCTTTTTATTTTTATTATGCATTTATAACTTATGCTTTTGAGTTTTGCCTATTTCTCTTCCCAGCTTAAATACCATGAAACTGGACGCGAGAGTCGCATTGAGCCGAGAGTGGGACAGTGGAATATGATTGATAAGGTTTATATTATTTGGTTTGAAGTGTATCTATAAGCCTGTTTTGTGTTGTTCTTGTTCCTAATGTATAATTTTAGCTTTGCTTTGTCTGTGTAAATCATGAAAATTCCTAGGTTGAACCTTGTGTTTTTCCTGTATGATACAATAAATGAACCTTTTTTTTTTTTTTTT